ACTGCTTGAGCCGATTCTTTAACGATTCCTTTAATGATTTGTCCGTCGTCAAGTTCAGCTTCAAAGCCACAAACAGCCGCCGCTTCGTGAATTGGAAATTTATAACTAGCGTCGATTGTGTTTTTTTCAATATTTTTATATACCTGTGAGATTTGGACTAATTCCCATGATAATACGAATATATTTTACGTGTCAATTAATCTATCAAATGCATGTAAATAGGAAAAATTTGAATTACCTTCAGCAATCATATCAACAACTATATTGATAAAGGAAAAGCAATTAAATTGAGAATTATAATAAATACTAATAACAATTTACTGAGAAATTAAATTTGCTCAACCATTCGCTTCAACTTGGACATTCTGCAATGGCACAGGCGTGTCGATATCTTCATTTGTAAAAATAAGACCAAAGCATTCCATTTTTTGTTCAAGAAATTTGACCTAAAGGAATGATAGAATTTATACAATTATTATCAGTTGCGTAAATACGTAACGGTAAATATTTAAACGTTATTTATTCTACGCAGTTAAATTCTTTTCTCCATTAGGAAATAACGATAATAATTACGTACATGTACGTATTGCAATCGAATTTTCTAGTTACCTAATAGTAAATGAAATACATATCAATCAATATTGTGTCATGTAAATTAAGTTTTATTATCGTGTTATCGTCTCATTTATTTTACCATGGTCATGAGTCAGATCAAAATCGATACCTAAGATTGTTAAATGACGTAGCATACTGTTGCACTTATCGTTATGTTTTGTTTTAGCGAATTAAAGGATTTATGCCGCAATAAGTCTTTGAGAAAGATTGGTAGACTGAACAGTGGATTCTTTCGGTATCTAAAGTCTGTGCCGATATCTACGGATATCATCGTTATGTTTATTGGGGGGAAGAAAAGATTGTGCGTTTCGGGTGAGTGTTAGGGGGATTTCCTTTATTTTTGCTTTTTATAGATAAAAGCCTTAAACTCCTAAAAATATTATTAACAATCGTTGCTTTTTCTAGACAAAAGCCTTAAACTCTTAAATAATAACGACAACGGTGATTA